AAAAAAAATGCTAATAAATTTGTTAGGAACATAACAAAAAAAAAAAAAAGAATTATTAAATAAATGAGATAAAGATAACAGATAAAAATTTGTTCTAATCACTTTTGACTACTTTCAGTGCACATTTAAAAAATTACTTTTTGTATCTTTATATAAATATATGTATTTCTATTTGTAGTTATTGTTTATTTATTTTATTAAGTAAATATTTGCTCCTTATTAGAGTCAAGCTATTGTCACTGAATAGTGATGAATATACATATATAAATGCATATTGTATATCATATTATACTGTACAAAAAGTTCACGGGATGAATCGAGTCCGAAAGACAACCGTAGTCACGAATTTTCATTTCATATTTACTTTTTATTTTTTTTCCATCTCAGTTAAACGACCATGGCGAGGAGAAGTATTGTTTCGCAAAGTTGTCGAAAAAGTATAAAGTAATATTCGTAAGTCCATCGTACATAGTTTTGCAGACCGATGGGATGAGGATGTAAAGGTCAAGTAAGATCTGTTAACTATTTCCAGCAATAAATTGTTATTATTTTGATTGTTTTTGCTGTTGTTATTGTTGTAATTTTTGGTATACACGGTGGTGTATGAGTAGGTAAGTTTGATCTGGATAGACGTTTTTACCAGCTCGTGCGAATTGATTACCACTACGGTTTGAAACTTTTCCATCTTCCGCGTCGAGAGATGGTGTATTATTTATATATATAATTTCACAGGCGATCATCAATTTCATCCGGTAATGCCACCGGTGCATTTTGCTTACCTACATAAATAGGTACTTCGGTGGCAAGCGGAACGAATAAGAATTTAAAGGGGAAAAAAGAAAAAAAATGAAATTTTCTTCGACGTCACTACCATTATTATAATAATACAATAATAATAATTATTATTTTTATAATTATTATTATTATTATTATAACTATTAGTAATAGCAAGTCGTACTTGTGCTGATTCTCATGTCAAAAAATACGAAACATGAAATTTAATAGTGGCGTGGCGCGATACATTATTTAGTGAAGATACAATATCACCAAATATATTTTATCTCTCTATGTACCTCTCTCAATGGTTTGCCAAACTGATGAAATAACGAATAACACTAATGTTTTAGAAAATAATTTTTATTTTATAAAACGTAATTGAACGTATAATCAATAACGTTGGCAGCCGGTCGTGACGATTTCATTAAAAGACTAGTCGAATTGCCCAGCCTCGCTTAGCATATTATTTTAAACAATAACAATGATTAATTCGATGCGGAAAAAATAAGAAGTTCTAATAAGATAAAAGTTAAATATCGTCGTATATGCTAATGATATTTGTTTTTATTCATTAGTACTGTACTAATTTACATGTATCTCAATTGGTTAATACGAATATAAACATAATAAATAAAATACTATTTTTCTTAGGTAACTAAATATTTAAAAAATAATTATTCATCCAGTCCAACACGGGTTCAACTCTTCGGAATACGATTTTAAAATATCCTGTGTGCACCTATATAGTAAATATATTCCCTTGTTATTTTAAATTAATCAAAATGATAGTCCTGCGTGAGTGGTATTCGAATTTTTTATTTGTAGATTAATTACAATAATAATACCACTAACAAATATTAATTAAACATGATTTTACTTGATCATGGCTTGAATTTAATGTTAATTTGTTCGTTTAGAATATACCTATAACGTTTTATGACTGAATCTGTAAGCAACAATTAAGTTGTTTACATGCGCATAACGGCAATAGGATATATGATGAAAACGCACGTATTATGATAACATAAGTACTATTCCTCATATTAGCATATTATATACTTTTTGTTTCGTACCTCACGGTAGTAGTGGACTTTCTTAAGAATGTCGTGGTGGACGAAGTAGTCTGTTTTTCTTTTTTTTTTTTTTTTGTTACTCTTGGGTTTCCAAGTCCAAATGAAACGTAATATGATAAAAACGATGGTAAATTCGAGGATTGCAACCACATGTTGCATTACATACTTTGTTAGAAAAACTTCTAAAGTTCTGTTAAAATGTGGTCAGAGTAGGTATCGAATTATATGAAATGGAAGAATTTCTAAAGTCAGTACTCCAGTTGAGCGCAATAATACTCATCGTCTATGTGGTTTTTTTCTGGTGATTTAAAATAAAATCTCTATTATTGTCATTAAAAAAATAGACGAGTGCTCAAACAAAGCCGAGAATGACTAAGCAACAATAACATTGTTTTTGTAATAAAGAAGAATAATTGTTCTCCTGCGATGCTAAGAAAATAATATACGATTACTAGAATTGAGTACAAAAAAAAGGAAAATGATTGACGAAGCGCTATAAAATTAAAACCGAAACGGGTCTTTGGAATAAAAAAAAAAAACAATCAATGGCATAAATGATAGTAATACGTATGTAATCGAGAGAAAATAGTAGATTTTACATCAGATTCTTGATTGCTTTATATCACTAAAGTTATACGTTCTATAAAAAATGCAAAAGCCGGTTAAGATAACGAGGTGTACATAATAATATGTACACGTATGGTATCAAATATTAATAACCTACTACGTAGGCGTACTCATATTATACCATAAATCATTTCGCTCGGTAATTTTTTTTTTATCGTGTAAGATAAATTTGATATTGGATTTCCAAGCAGTTTAATTTTAACGGATTATTAAAAACCTTCATAAAACCTTTAACATTCAACTTTCATACATTTATAGCAAACTAATTGCATTTGATATGAAATCGCTATTGTTTCCAAGTCACAGCATAATTCTCGAAAAAATTGTTATTGATCTAGAAATATATAAAAATATAGAATAAAAATCATTGATAGCTTAACTTAGTTAAAATATAATTGAGTTACGAGAAAAGTTTTTTGAACAAATATAATGGATAGTTAGCGTCAAGTCTGTAATGGAAAAAAATATATATGAAATTAACACAAATAATAACAGTGTACAAAATGTGAGTAAAAAGAAAAAAGAAAATTGATGACATATTTGTAACAATTTTCTCGAAGGCATCTATTGCTATTGAGTTATCTTCAAATAATTTTCTATACACATATTACACCCGAAAAATAAAATTGAATTAAAAAAAAGTAAAAAGATAACAGCTAAAGCACTTCACTTTGTAATAAAAAATATTATACTTATATTTCAGGAAAGCAGTCTTATTTTTTTTTTTTAAAACGTAAATGTGAATTTCTATTCCATTTATTTGATTTACACGTGTAAAATGTATTTGCAGATTTATATACATTGAAGAAATTCATTAGTAATTGTAACATTGGCATTTTATATATCAGAAATAAATAATTAAAAATAGCTTAGTTCAATCACTAAATAATACAAAATATTTTAATTTAGACTGAACAAATATTTAAATATAGTTCGTTATAATCTTTATGGTAATGAAATTCATAGTATGATTATTTTTCTTATATTTTATCAGTACTATTGTAATAAAATAAAACATTTAAAGAAAACAATGCATTTTAATTCAAAAAAATATATTATTTTTTAAATAAAATGCAATTATAAGTGGTTAATCTGCGAAATACTTTGCAAAATAAATCTTAAAGTAAAATACTAAAATAACAACTTTCAAACTGTACGAAAATAATCAAATAATGATATTGTCTACAGATATTTTTAAATGGAAATAGCGATACACTTTTTGGGCAATTTAGGTAAGATAGGATTTGAGAGTTCACCTACTCTCCTTGTCATTAATTTTATAAATATATTTCCAGCATTTAAAATATATAATATATAATAATAACACATAAATAGTGTTAAGCTGCTGTAGCATCGCCGGGAAATAACATGGGATTAAAATCTATAGTGATTATAAAAATATAATGTTAGACGAGAGTCACCACAATGTATCATGATGACAATCAAAAAAATAGAACGGAATACTTCTGCCGCTTATGTTTAAACATAAACATAACTCATAAAGAGGAGAGGAGCTATTTTACTGCTATGGGCAGCGAATGATTATAATAATTCCAAAATAATATATTTTGTGTTGGATTTTAATAAGTATTTGTACCTCGTATGTGTTCTGTTTTAATTGGCTATACTATGTGTAAACGTCACGGTGAAATTTTAATCGTAATAATTAGGGAACGGATTTAAATTTACTAAAAAATTAAAAATATTTAAATATATATTTGTTTATTACTTTATAAATATTTATTTATAATATTGAAGTATTGAAATTAAAAATAAGATAAAATTCAATATAATTTATAAATAATACATAAAACAAAAATAAAAATTCTAATTTTGAAATTATATCAGTTAAAAATCAAAAATTAGCGGAAATAAGTGCTAAATAGTTTTGCTAAAAAATTTCTTGAAATTTGTACCTACTTCCTAGATAAGATATTGTACAGACTTAATCATATATTTTCGTCCATCATAAAATACTAAAATAAAAATGGAATTTTTATAATAATACAGATTACGCATATTTATTAGTAAAATATTTCATTATTATTTATTTATTTGTAAAATATTTAAAAATATTTAAAATAAAATTAGCATCAGTTCATTCAAAATGAAATGAAACGTACATATATATCAAAAACTTTCCGATATTAAAACTACATAAAAATATTTATTTAAATTAAAATCCGTTCCCTAGTAATAATAAATGCACCATTTTCGGTGTAGCACACTCGAAATTTAATCCCTACGTGTCAGGGGCGGACTGAGTTAATATTTCAGGCCGGGAATTTTTTTTTGCCAGGCCAAAAAATTAATAGGGGACCAACGATTTGGTCATAAGTGTGCAAAATAAAAAAAAAAATAATAATGATAAAAAACCTTTATTATTTAAAAAAAAATTTCAAAATTTTATGTAAGATATATGAAACCACACATAATATATAAGATATTTTTTTATAGATACAGTGTATACAAATTAATATAATACCTATATATTAAAATTAACTCTTAAAGTACTTCCTTTTTTTACATAATTAGGTCTTTTTTTATAACTTCACTAGTTTCCCCAATTCTGTCGATTATAATATCGTCATCTAATGATACTAATGTTCGCTTTTCCACGGACATCAACATAAACGCTTCCAAATGCTCATTAGTTAGAGTATTTCGTAATCGATTTTTTATGAATTTTAGAGTTGAAAATGACCTCTCACATGCTACTTGTGTTACCTGTAGAGTTGAAAGATAATTATAAGCCAAAGAAAAATTTGTATACGCATTACTATATAAATTGTATTTTACTAATAACTTTAAACAGCAACAAGCACAATTTTTGCATGTTTTACAGGTCATATTTAATCCGGCAGTTTCTTCAGCTTCTTGATATTCATCTTCTGAATCGAAATTTTCAAAATCATATTCGTCTTCAACTGATTTTTTTAAGTTATCCCAATTATTACCAAAACTTACTAATTCTTCTCTTAATTTTTGATAGAATTCTTCCAAATTATCACTGACTGTAAATCAGATTAAATTTTTAGAGAGAGCTTTCAAGGCTGTTTTTGGTAAACCATGTTTAAAACTATTAAAGTTGACTGGGGATAGAAGTGATAAATCCATGTATAAAGGACTATTGTTTACAAATCTTGAATTCATACTTTCAACTATTCTATCCATCACCTGATTATGAACTTCAACAGTATATTTTTGTTTCGCATCATTAATTGGGTCATCGTTTAATAATTCATCAGTCATTCGTTTTCTTTTCTTTAATCGTTTGATTTCGAATTGTTCTTGAAGATAAATTGCATTATCCAAATCTTGCAATTCTAGTTGATTATTTACCCATTCGACAAATGTATCACTTTTAGCTATAATATTTTCCATATCTCTTTGGTACTTAACTATTTGACTCAGTGCAGATTTTACCATTAGTTGACATTTCAGAAGGTCTAATCCACTGGTTTGTAGATATCTAGATAGTGGGCCCGTTATACTAAAAACATTCATAAATATGTGTGCTGTCAAAATAGTCTCATACTTTAATAGTAAATCTAAATAATTGTTTGCTTTTGCTCTTATATCAGGTTTAAATTTTTCCCCTTGAACAACTTTAGTGAAAGCAATTATCAAGTCTACATATATAGAACTTTTTGGATCTCCAAATGTTCCGAAAATTCTCTCAACAGCAGTCTGTTTTGATGACCATCTAGTTTCCCCAATGGTTTGAAGACGCTTATTTCGACTGTTATCTGAATTTGTCTTGCTAACTTCATTCCAAATATCCATCCTCAAATATGATTCTTTGAAAAATACCGCACAACTATTTAATAAAGTAAAAAATGATGTTACTTGGACAGGATTTCTTGTTGTATCGCAAATAACAAGATTTAAAACGTGACTATGACACCAAACATGAACTTGTTCAGGCGATAATTTACTTAAATGTGAAGTGAAACCATTATATACTCCTCGCATATTGGACGCTCCATCAGTAGAATTTCTTATACATTTCGTTAAATCCAAGCCAACAGAAATCAATTCCTCTTTTAGCAGTTCAGCCATACTTTTACCACTTGAATTATGAACACACTTTACAGCAATTAATTTTTCATTAATTGTACCGTGAAAAACGTATCTAATAACTATTGAACATTGATCTATTACTGAAACATCTTGGGTAGTATCAATAAGAACAGAAAAGAATGAAGCATTTTGGACTTCGGTAGCAATTGTACGTTTAATGTTTGATGCTATTTCATTTATAACGACTTGAACCGTATTTTTGGATAAATAAGTTAAAAAGCTTCCACGGCCTCTCGTATTTTGTTTTTGTTTCTTTTCACTTTTATTGATGATAGTATTGAAGTGTTCGCAAATGATAGGATCATATTTATTTCTTTTACCTCTATAGCTTAAGCCTCTTTTTCCGATTAATTTTATAACAGCGATAATTCTTTCAAAAATTTGCCGATTTTTTTTATATTTTGTAAATTTGAAAATAACAGTGAATCTATATCTTTGTTTTGAGTTTTTAGGAAATAAGATTCGGAAGAGAGTGAATGAACTATGCTACTCTCATGCTCCTTGATTCGTTGATGAACATGTTTCCAATCAGATACCCCCTTAGTAAATTAATTCGATTCAGAAGCAAAAGCCGAACAAACTAAACAAAATAGTTGTTTTGATGATTCATCAAATGTTAGCCATACACTATTTGTTCCGTTTTCTCGAAGAAAAATCTTATTTGAATTGAATGGGAGGCTGGGATCTTTTGGTTGACAAGGGTGGTACTTGAAGAAATGAGATAAAACAGTTGAACTTGGCTTTATAAACTTATTAAATACTACTGGAGGACTTTCAGATGTCGAACATAGAACTTCTAAAAAAAAGGACAAATTTCATATAATCATATCGAGTTCATGAAATAAGTAACGTTATGGCTTAATGTGTTGATTAATAATTATAAATAAAAATAACATTGAAAATGCTTCTGATATTGGATATATAAATAAATTACTTAAGTTATAATATAAAAATTAATACACTTAAGCGCAACAACCAGATAAATCCATGCTCCCCTCAACTTTGACAAACAAATAGTATCCCCAAATTATTTTTTTTATTCAAAGTTTACAATATTGTGAATAATTATACAAATAATAATAAACAAACTAGAACAAAATTATTTTTAACAAGTATTTAGTCACTAAAAAGAATTTTCTTTGCCCTGGACAGTTTCAAAAAGTGGATTTATCTAGTTTTTGCAACAAGCCCTTCAATTGAAAATTAAAGTAATTCCCACCATATTACGCCGCTACGATGGGTTAATATTACATACTAATTTAGCTTTCACATGTATTTGTTAGTATTTATTTTTGTTATTAAAATGTATCACTCGTATGATGACCATGGTGGTAGTTACTTACCAGAATTAGAATCAACTATGTCATCATTTTCAGACATTGATATGTTTTCAGTATTTTCATGAAAGGAAGTACCTATCAATATTTTCAAAGACAATTACATAAAAATCATAAATAGGAAAAAGGAAAAAGAAACTAATAAACAATATAAAATTATTTAAATTTACTACATAATACATAATATATTATGCATACCTGAGCTTAGTTCTTCAGTTTTAACGGGATTTTCACTATTTTGTTTTTCATAATATGCTGAATTAAAAAATAAATTAATTTTTTTACAATTCTTGCTTGATTCTAAAAGAAGTTTTTTATTTTTTTCACGTTCTCTAGCAGCACCACCAGCACGTTTTTTATCCTCTGAATTCATTTTAAATAATATTTAATAAATTCAAAACACCTTTGTGGAAGACTTTAATGTATAATGTTTCTATAACATTATAGTATAAGTACAGACAATACAGTTAACTATAATATTGTATAATTTAACGTAAACAAAATAAAATAAAATACGGAGACCACCTATTTACATTACATTACAGCAATGTTTTTGCTATCTGCGGACTGCGATTAGTGCGAGTATCAGCGCTTTGTGTGTCGTGTGGCGGCGACGCGCCGACATGACGCGCGACGGCGGTACAAGTATAAATATAAATATATAATAATATAATAGTTTATAATTTATAAATAAATCACTAAACAAGCTGTTCGGCTTATCGCTTATATTATATATTTATATCTGTGTATATATTTCGTACATGGGTACAGACTACAGACGGTACATCGTATAAATTGTTATCGATTAATATAATATTTAAAATCACACGATTAATAATAATAGTAATACCTACCATATGCATTATGTTTATTATATTTTTATGTTTATTCGTATACTATATTTTTAATTTCTAAAATATTATCAGGCCATTTAATCTATTATTGTACCAGGCCACCGGGATTTGTCCCGGTGTCCCGTCAGGCCAGTCCGCCCCTGCTACGTGTATACTTGGAATTTTTCCTTTTACAAAATTTATATGCATAATAAATTACAAGGAAAATTAGGGAAAATTAACTAATTATTTTTAACTCATTAAGTTTATTTAATCAAGAGATATGTAAGTAAAGTTTTGTTAAGATTAAGTTTTAAAAGTTAATTAGAAAAAAAAAATAACAAAGTTAAAAATAAATAACTTATTATTATTAATATATATATATATATGTGCGAAAAATATATTTTTAATATCTGAAAAAGAATTTACTTAACATGACTAGACTATGTTTAATTGATAAGTAGTAGCATGTCATGAATAACATAATAACTCGTGAAGTTAACATAACATAGTACGTACATAGTACATAGTTACGTCACATATAGTGACGTAACATGAAAAACAAATTAACTCGATACCTAAGCAATTTAACTTTTTAGTCGAACTTTGACCTTTTACCTGGTTGATACTCAAATTCAATGTATTAGACTTGTAATGGAAATTAAAAAATGTTAATAACACCATTTCCGTCAATTTATAAAACATTTTACCGTTCACTCAAACCACCAATCTAATAATGATCGAGCGCTGTCGTAGTCATTATCTACACGAATAAATATATTTTAATCACGTTTTATTTTTGTTCGCAGAAAATGGACCTCAACCGAGACGGAGTTGTGTCGTTCGAAGAGTTTATGGAGACCTGTAAAAACGACGAGAACATCACACGTGCAATGATCTCAATGTAGACGAGATAAAACGTATAATTAATGTTATACGTTGTTCGTAGGGCGTCGTTCGGGGAGGGGGGAAATCTAAATACAGCCTCTTCTTTGATGAAATGACTGTGAGAATTAAACTTCAGGTACCCCCGAACAACGCATAGAATTCATAATACCATAATTATTATCATTATTATTTTTTTTTTCTAACAAAATCATGCAACGAAAAAAAATTGTTTGTTTTTAGTATTTGTATTTATGTATGTTTTTCTTTCAAGCGCAATCGCTCTTGTAAGATTTAATTTTCCAATCATAATCGGGGATAGAAAGTGAATTATAAAATTGCAATTTACACCCGTACCATAGGCACTGAGCTGTGCATATAATTCATACGTATACAATACACAGTCGGTACACAATTATTTATTCGAAATAAAAATATATCGAATTCCGAAAAAAAAATTAAATTCTGTGTCAAAATACCACTCAATGTGGTTCCAAGTTAAAGCCTTTACATAATCGTCTATAAACACACGCTGAACGTACACGTGTAAATCATATTAATTTAGATGTTTACGCGTAACACAATATATATCGATGGAACATTATAATGTTTACGAGCACGTGAGGAATCGTACTCGTACACCATTACACTTATAGTATTTTGTTAACCGTTTATTGACAAACATCTGGACGACTCCGGAGGAACAGGGTAAAAAAAAGAATACACATAACATGTTAAATGGTTTCTCACATAATCGATGTGGTCGTCGTCGACGTCGTCGTATCATTATATACGACACCGTCTATAACAATAATTCAAATATAAATAAATATATTGTACTTTATGCTTATGATATCATATGAGTACTTTCGATGTGAAATTTTTAAGGTAAATTATTAATATTACTATTGTAATTAGACATTTAAATACACGATTTTGATTTTTACAATGCGGTAAAAGTGTTAATAAATATACATACAGCATATATATCAATCATAAAGATTGAAAAAATAATTACATATGATTGGAATTTAAATATTTAAAGTAAACACTTTATACAACAATGAATATGTAAACGATTTATCATATTGAACCTGAAATATGTTATGAAAATTAATTAATATTCGAGAATAAATAAAAATTTAAAATTGTATAAATGTCTAACACATAATTCTTAATGTTAAAAATAAAATGTATAACCAATGGATATTGAACGTTTATCAAATATTTTAATTTGTTTTAAATATTTATTAAATATTGATTAAATATATCTTTGCTGTGTGGGTTTATATTTATATATATATATATATTATATTAATATTGTACACCGTTTATAAGAATAGCAGTATATGCAATTACAACACTAATAATTGTTGTAGATGGCAAATTATAACTTCTTATTTTTTTTCACTTTCCACGAAGATACAGTAATATAATAAACTTATTAATATGTGTACAATACACACTTACATAATATTATGATTTCTACGGATTATGTTATATTATTGTATACGATGATGTATTATCCTAAGATTTTACCAGGGTTATTGGCATTGTACATAATATATTGTTATCATTGTATTTCCTTAAGCGATATCAAATGAGTTTTACCATCGTAAAAAATAAAAATGAATTTTAATTTATGCGTTCGTAAAAAAAAAATATTTCAAATTATTTTGTTGTATTATTTTTTTATTTTTTTTTTATTGACGTCATTATATGCGCGTAGAAGTGTGTGTGTGTGAGTGTGTTTGTTGCGCGTGCCAATGGTCGTCGCTAAAAAGCTAAAAATTATATTCAATTGTTTTTCCTTTGTAAACGCTAGAAAATATATTATATGTACGTAATCAGTATTATACGTTATTAAAGTTATTTTTGTTCTTGGTAACGTACAACTATAGAGTTTCCATAGATAATTGTTATAAGTATTAGATCGTAGACCGAATAGAATAATAATATATTGCTAACCCGAGAAAAAAAAAATCAGATAAAAATAACTTATCAAAAGTATCATACCACGTCCTCGGTTGAAGAGATAAAAAAGGGTTATGGTTGTCAATGATACAAAATCTATAAAAAACAGTGTGCTTACGTATGCAGATCACTATGTAAGAATAATAATAATATATGTTTTTTTTTTTTTTTTTTGCTGAACATGTATAATACGTATTATTATTGTTATATTGATCGCCACGGAGATGAGCAAGTTCGCACTAAACAATAATAATAAACACTATATAATGAATATTAGAAATTCAGGGTCACCAATATCCATGTTTGTGTAGGACAGTTGCACTATAAGATAATGGAATAGTTCCCCTTATTAGCTACAAGTTGTTTGTCCGGAAGGGGTTTGGTAAGTTTCTACGTGAAACAACAGGTAAGCGGTAAAATATTATGATTTAAGTACCGAGCATAAAAAAAGGAAACCGGTACGTAAAATCCGTTTTTCGTGCTTATAACACGTATATTTTAAAAATGTAGATGTTCATAATCCGGTACGTTTCGAAAAAATTATATTGTGTTCATATTATTAGCAAAACGTTTAGGTTGCACCTGCAGAACATATCGTATCAAATTTCCATCACAAAATGTAAAAAACGCCTTGAATACTCCACTGCATTCGTGCATGACCGTGTGAACAAATGAACAAATAGTATAGTAAAAATCGTTTGATAAATCTAATAGTATTCATTTTTTTATATAAGGAAAAGCATACGGTATCGACTGAAAACAAGTGTACCAATACAGCCTACGGATACCGATTTAGACAGTTTGATCGAATTATTTTAGTGCTTCAATATTTTTTTAAAATAGAGAGCTGAATCTTATTTAGTTCCTGACTTAAAGAAAGGAACTAATTTATTTTCTTGTCTCTCAGTAGTTTAAAAATATAGTTAATATAGTTAATAGTTAAGGACTACTTTTCAACCATCAACGATATCATCCCATCGTGGCTGACTTGACATTTTGTAAACATTGTTAATATCATTATATTATATACCTATTTATATATAAATTAATTTATCAAAATTAATAATAATACAGTAAGGATGTCCAGGCATCATAAATCAATCGTTATACAATAATAATCAATAACTGAATCAATGAATTAGTTAAATTTTTAAAGAAAAGTTATAACAAAAATGTCTTTTAATTCTATAAATGATTTAAATAATTTATATTCGAGAATAAATAGACAAATAAAAAAACGAACAAATCACGTATGTTTCTCTAAATAAATGTACGAACTTTCAATACCCTATTAACTTGAAAAAGAAACCACGTTGCTGATAAGTTTCTGAGGATATCACAAACTCGAAGGGACGAGTACCTTCAAACGCGTTCCTTCCAAGCACCGATTCTCTACCGTGCCAACATTCCAGTGTACGATGACCGATTTTCGATGAATTTACATATGTGCAATAAATGAAAATTAAAGAATGATCGTCCTCGTTCGAAACGTGAAAATATTCCGTTCAAACACGTTCGTATTTCACACCTGGTCCGTTTTTCAAGTATGACTATCCGTATTACTGCTGGTATTATCACAATGCAACGTATATCACACGAATTCATAGCTCGTCTCCGTTCGCGTTCTTTAATTTAGAATGTATGTATTATACTATTATATTGTAATGTAAGTTAAAACGTAATGATTTTGAAAAAAAAAACTTACTGTGTTATTTTTAAACTACATATATATGTTACCGGAAAAGATGAAAATTCAGGAATTGTCGATAATCCTAGTCATTGTTGACAATAACTGGAAAGGTTAGGCAATGTTGGATATTTCGTAGTTTTATCAACATTTCCGTATTATATTAGGCAATGTTGTAAAATTAATATTTAAAAGTAATACAACGTTATATATATATATATATAAGTCTTGATGTGAGGAATGGGCCTGCTTTTTACTACTGAGTTTGTCAATGTCCGGTGTCACAGAAGTCAGTCGAAGACGCATATCGTTTACTGCATCCAAACGTGCTTGACATTTTGTTTTTGTAGCTGTATACAAAAAGCCATTTCACGAAGATACGTAGTACCAAAAAACAGTAAAATTAGTTTAGCTTTTGAAATTAATATTGAATGATCTCTTCCTAACCGAGCTATAATATTAATGAAAACCTCGATTTTGCTGCATTGAGAGTTGCTAGTTTTGACGTAACTACAAATGGATTAATGATCCACTCATAGTTTTTTTCGAATTGATTTTTGAGCAAATTTTGGGAAGTATAAATTCAAATTTCGAAGCAAATAATTTAGGTATTCTTTAATTATTTCTAATAATGATTCATTAATTGTTAAATTGTTTTCTTATGAAAATTTTGAAGTCGTTGAAAAACATGACATGACTTTAATGTCGACATTTTGCTGTTTTTTCGTTTGCCATGAATTTCACTACTTTCACTATTAGTCATTTTATAAGATTTTGAGAGAGGGTGTATGGTTTGCCACCAAGAAACAATTCATAACTTATTAAGTACTATGCTTTCAGTACTTTTTTGGAATATGTTTTTCATGAGATACAAACGTTTTCAGAGTTGCATGGAGCTCATATTTTTTTTTTTTAATAGTCTGCAGTTTTATTTATGAAATCATGACGTGTTTCAAAATGTCGTTTAAGCTTAGCAGGAAATATTGAGCTATTAGGCAAAACTTTGTTACATATCACCCGCTGAGAATGTCCATAAGCAAATTCAGTGAATCCCATATTTAAATATGAACCGCAATATTTTCGTTTATTGCTTCCTTTCTGAATATCTACATCACAACTATAGTAGATTCTAAAGTAGAACCATGTATAATATGTTCCGAATGTAGTTATAAGGAATTAATTTTACTACAACTATTATTATCTTTCTTCGACTGAATAATAGTTGTTGGCTGACGATTTTCAGGTCTTATGGAGCTCGTTTTAAGCCACTGTTCCATTTCAGTAAAAATACACTTGGTCGTTTACATATGCATAGTAAACAACGGGCCGAGTCATCAGTCGTTTCATATTATCAAATTCTAAAATTAGATAATTATATACAATTTTCTTATCGGGGTTTTACGCAATATACATATTAGTGAATTATGGCATTCAAGTCTTCATGAAATATATATTAATTTTAAATAACGAACATTTTTTTAAATTTTTTGTGGTGTTACGAACAGAGTCCTAGGCAAGCCATTGCGGAATACCAAGGACTCCGCGGAGCACAGTTCGGGAATCGCTGTACTAGATTATATAATTTCAAGTATCATAGTAGTTTACCACGTAACAATAAAGATTAAAATAATGATTTATCCTAAATAGCTTATAAGTATTAAAATATATCAAATTAATTTTTAATGTTATCATCAATGCCTTCTTTTATTAGGAATTGTCATCAATGACTAGGTATTGACGTTAATTCCTTGCTAAATCAGGCATTATCGTTATTAACTAGTCATTGTCAACACTCACTGATTGTTATCTTTTCCGGTGACATATATATATATATATATATATATATATATATTATAATTGTTTAAAACATGTTTTTCATAATATGTGATTGTTTTAATTGTTATATTTATAAAATATAATACCATGTGTATGCATCTGCGTATTTGTATATATGTTTGTGTGTGTCCATACAGTGTACACGAATACTTTTTTAAAGGTTTTAAAATGATTGTTTTGAAATCAAACATGTATTTACATTCAGTTTTGAATATTTTTCAATCTGCATTTAACGAAAACTTCTTTATAACGGAAAAATCACTTGATCTCGAACGATTCCATCATTAGAAAATGTTACCGTATATTTTTGAGTTAAGGCAGTTAATCTACTTATACATCCTATATATATACTACCGTCATATCGCAGCGTTAAACAAGGAGGGACTGCCGAGACGTTGTTCTTGTGATAGTAAAAAGGACTCATACACGCGCGGTGCCCTAAAGGCTGAAAAAGCGGTCACTAGGGTGATAATTTTTCAAAAAATTATAGCGTGCCCCTGCTAATAGGCCACGATTTCATGATTTTATATGGTATTTGGTCATAAAAATACCGGATAATCTCAATTTATTTATTATTTTTCATTGAGTCATTACGTCCCCAATTCTTCCATTTTTCCAATCACCAAAAATTGCTTAGGTGACGCTCAGTTGGATATCGAAGGAATATACTGTTAAGTATTAGCCGTACGTACACGCAGATGTACACGCACATCATGTTTGAGGGGGTAACATATTACAATTGTTCAGCAGGTCTCGCGAAGAAAAACAGCTGCTATACAATGTGACTATTGCGGGCGTGAGAAACCGATTTTCCGCGATGAACTACACGAGTTCACCACGTGATTGGATAAACAACCACATTGCATGGTCTATTTTTAAGATCCATTTCGTGTGTGGGCAGTTTATACGGTTAAAATATTACCGGGAACATCCGAAAGGGGTCAGCCATACTCGGATCACTGAAAACAATATGTTAAATGTCATGCAATTATGGTACAATATCTGTTGTCACTAGACAATAAGATAAAGTGTAATCATACTGTCGTGGAAAAATGAAATATTACATTCAAACGTATACCAGAAACTAGTGAACGTGGTTTCATGTAGCTCCTCGAAATTACTGTCTGTTTTATTGAAAAATGGATACGAGTACACCATATTAAGGAAAAAAGTACTGTTGTATTTAATGGGAATGGTTTAAAGTAAATTGCGTTGGAAATACGAGTATATCCATGAATTTATGAATTTATCTAAACTAGTAAGTACATGTTATTTTATATAATTTATAACATGTGTACAGTTAAAATAATAAGGAACGTATTTTTACTATTATTTTTAGTATAATTAAGATGAGGCGTAACCTTAATATACAGCTTAATGATACTTGGTACTAACATGAACTAAGACCAGTGTTGGGAAATATCTAGATATGTTACCAGATAAATTTCTGCTGTTATCATTATTTTCTTCTAAATAAAATTCTAGTTATCTATGATTACCTATCTAGATAATTTATTTAAAAGGAATAAAAAAAAAAAATTTAAAAATTTAAAATATTTTTATATTTTCATTTTTATATTTTTCTGTACATCGTATATCAATTACACAGAAAACAAACATTTAGTAAAATGTATTACCATTGATTAAATATAAAAATATAAATATAAATGTATCTTTAATCAATAGTATTACTATACCATGCATTTTAATATAGAATGTTCATTTTAAGTCTGGAGTATTACATAGTAAACAACGACAAGACCCAAAAATAACAATAAGTAATGGTCATGTAATAAAAAAAACTAATAATAGCAAAAGCGAAAACAACTATCCCTGCTACCCACCACCGTAAGATGATGATCTTCATTAGCCGATAACCATTTCATAAAATTGTGTACAAAATATGAGCAAATAATTTTTTCGAAGAAAATAAACTAACATCCATATATATTAGACTCACAAGCATAATAGATTATAATAATATATAAACATTTTGACTTTTTTATTATTAAGTAAAAGAATGTTTTGTCATCTTCTTATGAAGTTTATTTTAAAAAAAAATTAATTTTTATATTTTATGTTCATTAATATTTGAAATGAGTTTAAAAAATGACATTTATTTTAAAATATTTTTAACTATGTATTTTTTTTTACCTAATACCTGTAGACTGTAGTATCCTGAATATTTTCAAAATTTGAAATGAAATTATCTCATATTTATCTAGATAAAAATTTACTAATTTTTATCTTTGTCTTGATAAAATTTAGTATAACTATCTTTACTTATATCTCGATAAAAATTAGTATAGTCATCATTATCTTTATTTAGATAAATTATTAGTTATCTACTCCCAAAACTGACTAAGACTAACCAATACCTAAGATGTTTTTAAATTTTTTTTTTTTTTTAATTTTTTGGAATATTTTTCGATAAAGCAGATTAAACTTCTAATTCATACCGTATAAGGTTTTATTGATAAGAAATGTAAGGTAATGTAAACTGAAATTCGTAAATGAGGAAATCATATAGAATATATATGCAGCTACGCATCGGGGTGACTTATTATAACTAACTATATCATATATTGAATTTCGCAACAATACACAATGTTTTCTTTTCTCGCACTATTATAACGCATTAAACAGATTTTTTCAACGATCGCTAGCCATTATATTGTCAAGCGTTGCAAATGGATTGATTAATTGACTCTCAAAATATATAAAATATAACATCTAACATTGATTTCCGTCCCAATCATACGGCTTCCGCGTCGTATTCTGTGTGGTCCTCCTGCCAAAACGAGAAATAACGAAGATAGATTTTATTTATTTTTGTTTTTTTTTATCGATGTTGTATCGTGACTCATTGCGTTCCCGAACAAATCATCGACCAACGATTTCTTATACTCTTCCCATTTGTTTTCCACTAAAAACTTCCGGAACGACTGTTCGATATTCGGGTTGGACGCGTTCAACGAGCACACGGTCCGACCCCAGAAGTTTGACTCGTTGTTCTTCGCCAGGAACGTCAACGGGACCAGCAGACACTTGACGTCGGCTGTGGCCATCACTAGACGGCCAGAGCGTCTTTCCCCTGGGAAACAACAAAATGATTAGTACTTACGCCCATTTATCGGTGTTTCGAAGTAATGTCCGCGCCGAGTAGGTTTTCAATAACTACTGTTGCCATGGACAACAGGTGTCACTTTTGAAATATTATCACGAAAATGTAACTGAGACAAAAGGACGATATTTTATAAGAATAAAAATATTATTTCTGTACAAATATGTTTCAATAAACTATTGGAACTTTATTGCGTAATTATTTATGCACATAACTAGGCAAAAATGCAGGTATAGGGTAAGAAGTTTAAACCAACGATCAGCCCTCAAAATATCTGCAAAAATACTATAAAAAAATTAACTGACCAACAAGTTGATTAATTATTTCAAAGTTTCAAATTATATTTATGAATAAAATATTTATATATATGTAATTATTATATAATAAGTATTGATGCTTGCTATTTATCTACATTTTAAATTTGACATATTATCAACCACCTACCCCCACCAAAATTATTTCCAGCGTTCATCCCAACATGCAACAGTCAATTACGATTGTTTTTTTTCTATTTGGAACTTTATATTTATCAAAGCATATTCCCGCAAAAATTATGCACTAACAGACGCGCTATAAAATACTTAGATGTGAATATCCGGAAACGGACGGTCAGTGAAATAAATGGGTGATTTCATCTCGAGTAGAATGTGGGTGGTATTGATTTTAAAATATCAGGGATTGAAATGTTTGCACAGCCATTGAGCGCAGCGTTACCATGCACCGATTTCCATTGATCTTTTTATCAATCTCTCATAATGGGATTATCGATCACTACTATTGCTATTACGAGATCGTACCTGTTGGGTACAGTTCGATAATTGACGTGAATAGTCTCAACTTTCTAGAATATTCGAGACGGACAGGTATGGTGTGTCTCCTTATCTATCATAGGTATTATCTCTCAATTCACGTCATGTACGCCGCGGCGTACAGCGCGCCGTCAGCGTAACATCGTTATTTCGTCATTCCGCTTATAGTCAGTGGTTGAATTGGGGGGGGGGACGCAGAGGGTCTGAGCTACTCTTCATTTTTCTTCATATTATAGCGTACCCCTTAATTTAATTCATCAAGGAACGCAGGGGACGCAGCGTCCTTCAACAATTATATGAATATGAATTTGTTTCTAAGAAAAATTAAATAAATATGAAAAAAAATTGGAAACGATTAATATTTTATTTAATTTTTAGTATTAGTTCGTAATTTGTTCATTATTATTAGCACATATGTATATTAGGAACGCAATAATAAAATATATAATAATGTTATATAATTTATGTAACACGTTTCAAGTGTTTCCACTGCGTATTAATTCGTGGTATAAACTGCTAAATTGCTAAAAATATAACTATTACGAAAACTTCCCTGGGTGTACCGACGATAACGATCTATAGTAAACCATTGACAATAATAATATATTGACTCCGTATTTTGAGAATCCGTCCGTTGTTTTAGTTATCGACGATTAACAAATGGTGATCGTTTTCAAGGAAAATTAAATATTATTTATATTTTATTTGGAAACGAGGTGCGCCACGAATGAGTAATCAGTATTATGTTAGCTTGTCGCGTACTCGCGTATGTAATTTATAAATTGTAATTTTGTTGAAAATAATAAACACCTCAACCGCACTCTACAGTCCTACATGTAACGTCAGCAATAAACAAATAAACATGAATAAACGTCAAAAATTGCCCATATCGGACTTTTTCAATAAAAAGAAAAACAATAACCAAGGTAATTAAAACACTTTAATTTAATAATAAATCATAGGCGTGCGCAGATTCCTGTTACCAGTGTACTTTTATTTTTTTTTGATAATCCACCCTCATAAATCCCACCTTAAAAAAAAAAAAAAAAAATAGATATACAAAACATAAGTAAGTAGAAATAAAATTTATTAGAAAAACTGATGTACAATCTGATTATCAATGAACGTCAGTCCCGGCAATTTTTATTTTTTTGTAATTTGATAAAATTTATAAAAAAAACTTGATTTTCCAAAAAAAGTTATTAGCCCTTTTTACTTAAGTACCTAGTAGCTACCTAAAAAAAAAGTTAATAAATACAGTTAAAAGTTCCTTAAATTTTTTTTGGTCATACATTTTAAAGCAATACATATACATAACTATGATAAAAATAATTATTATTTAACTTTCAGTAAATCTTAGTCCTAAAAATAATGTGACGGGATGAAATAAATTATTTGACTAATATTAAACTTCAAATATTAAAATTAATATTGACAAAAAAAAATTAATATACTAATAAAAGAGTAACATTTATAATCTATAAATTTAATATTTACTTTTTGTAGGCAACAGTAAAATACATGAATTATTTTAAATTGAAAGTTAATTGATTAATTAATTTTATCATGTGGCTATATATTTACATTTTAGATTTTAAATTTGCTAGACGTGTTGCTGTGTTGATAGAATTAATACAAATAAATACCTATTAGTATTGTTTATTATTTGTTATAGATATCTGTGTTAATCATTAGATATATTTAATTATTTATATTGTAGATGCATTTAGGTGGGGGGGGACAAAGTCCCTCACGGTTTTTTTTAGATTAATTTGCTTTGGAACGCTAATTGTTCAACTACATTTAGAGTCCACCTTTATTTTTTTTTCCAATTCAACCACTGCTTATAGTACTAGCTGTGCGAGTCAATCACCACCGAATTTTTCTGTTGAAGTGTCTAAACATTCGTATTGTCTCAACCTCAAACATAACGTCTACCATTCTTTGATCGGACCCGTGGTTGTCCCAAAAATCGAAAATCGGTAACATATTTAATGCTTACTTGGGCGGCGTCTGCCCGCCCGTCCCGTGCGTGTTACCGGCCGACCGGCTTATCAGTCTAATTGCCTACCGTTGCTCACTATCTCAAATCGACGATGCTCGTTTCAAGGTCATCGGGTAAAAATAATAATTCCGCTCATGCTAATGTCTTGAGTCAAAATAACTCTAATCGGCCTCCCAAGCCGACCGATAAAAACGTAAATAAGAAATTAACTATCAATACAGCGACTTACATAATATCTCCGATGATTCCGATGACAAATCATGGTCTACTAATAAATCCAAACGTCTCGTTTCGCCAGGTCTTTCTCCTAAATCTAAAGAGCTAAAAATCTCTAAAACTAAAATCTCCAAATTCTCCACGCCAAATCGCTATGAAGCACTCAGTGAAGTGATTACCTCCGCCATATATACGGCTGAACAAACAAATTTACTTTCTCCACCTCTTATCTTCATCACTACACCATTTGATTTTAACGATTTTTGCAAATCCTTACTATCGATCATGGGCGAAAACGGTTTCGAATGTAAATCGTCTACGAACCACCTTAAACTCACTACAACCAAAATCGAATTCTATTGCCTTATTATACATCTGCTAAACGAAAATAAATTCGAGTATTTTACTTACCAAGTCAAAGCTGATAAGCCTTATCGGGTTGTAATAAGAAATCTTCACCCAACGACGGACACAAATTCCATTAAGGATGAACTAACTTCTAAGGGCTTCGCTATAAGAAACATCTCTAATATCCAGGCAAGACTATCTAAATCTCCTCTCCCGCTTTTTTTCGTCGATCTAGACCCGGCTCCTAAAAACTCAAATATCTTCAAACTTACCTCACTTTGCTACACCAAAATTAAAGTCGAAGAGCCTCACTCCCGGAAGGACCTTCCCCAGTGCCATAGATGCCAGGACTACGGCCACACCAAAACGTATTGAAATCGCGATCCTCGTTGTGTCCGCTATGGCCAAAGTCACCTCTCTGAACTCTGTGAAAAATCAAAGGACATACTGACATCCTGCGTTCTCTTAGGGGAAGCACACCCTGCAAACTATAAGGGATGCATAAAACACAAAACTCTGTTGCGATCAAGAAACTCCAAACTCAAGAACCACACCCAAACCAACTACTATCCACACTCGAGCAACCCATCTACCACCAGCCATGTAAACCTCACCAGTTCAGACATCTCTCGGCAGACCAACGCTAACCTTGTACAAAACAGTTCAGCCTCCTAACAGAACTCCTTCGCCAGCGCAACAAAAGATAAAACCCAATCCCCTATTAACGATTCCCCTCCCGAAAACCCTCTCTCAAATCAACTGATATCATTCATTCATGAGTTCCAATCACTTATCACACTTCTAATATCCCTGCTCTCCTCTCTCATCAATAAATTAGTTGTTACCAATGACTCTGAATTCTAATCTAAACTCTCCCCTGTCCATAATCTCCTAGAATGCCAATGGTCTTTCCAAACATTAGCACGAATCTCAATGCTTTCTCGAAGCTAAAAATATCGACATCGCCCTTATCTCCAAATCGCACTTTACCCCCACATCTCACTCAAAAATATTTGGATATCAAGTTTATCATACCTGCCATCCGGACGGTACTGCCCACGCTGGTACCGCTATCTACATTAAAAACAATTTATCCCATCATCAATTAGCCCCACACTCTGTACCCTACTTACAAGCCACTATAATTCAAGTCAACTTTGACAACTCTACCCCCATTGCCGTTTCTGAAATCTACTGCCCCCCCTGGACCCAAAATTTCGTCTGTCGAATTTCAAACCTTTTTTTCCACCTTAGGTCAAAAATTCATAGTTGGAGGCGATTTTAACTCAAAACACGCCTACTGGGGAAATCGCTCCGCTAATACCAGAGGCCGTGCACTTAAATCTGTCTTAGACACTATGAACTACTTAGTAATCTCCCCCCTTCTCCTACTTACTGGCCTTCTCACTGTAACAGACTTCCTGATATCCTTGATATATTCGTTTCCAAAATTCCAAACCACATTAACTCAACCATATCAAACTTAAACGATCTCTCCTTCGACCACACCCCAATTTATCTTGAGGTGGGTGCCTTAGCTACTATACAAATTAAACCTTCCCTTACTTTTGGCAGAGTAAATTGGCCTAAATTCAAAAAATTAGTAACCGTCAACATAAACCTTAAACCCTCCCTAAAAACTACCTTTGAAATCGACAGCGCTATCCTTTCCTTAACTTCCACTATTCAAAATTCTGCCTCCGCAGAATTCCTCCACCCCGAAATAATACTAATATTCCTGCCCATATCATGCTCTTACTCGCCGATAAACGCAGAGCCAGAACCCAATGGCATAGATCTAAATATCCATCGGACAAAGCAACTTTTAATTATCTGAAAAATAAACTAAACAAAGCTATTCTTAAACTAAAAATCGATAGTTATCAAAACTACATCCAAAATCTCTCAACTAAAGAATTATATTTATGGAAGGCCACAAAAAAATTAATCCATCACAAGCTACCATCCCCCCCACTCCGTATGCCAAACAATTCGTGGGCCTCTTCTGACTCCGATAAAGCCAGCATTTTCGCCGAACACTTAGCTAACGTTTTCAAACCATATAACATCATCCCAAATAAAATTCATACTCTAAATATTACTAGATTTCTTGAATCCCCTCTCCCCATGGCCCTCCCTGCTAAACATACTAGCCCGGGTGAAATTCAATACATCATCCGCAAACTCCCAACCAAAAAAGCCCCTGGGCATGACCTAATAAGCAACTTAGTTGTCAAACATCTCCCTGAAAAATCTACCATTCTTTTAGCACTTATATTCAACTCTATGTTTCGTTTATCCTACTTTCCTACAGCCTGGAAAGATTCAAACATAATCCTAATTCCAAAACCGGACAAACCTCCTGATATCCCGTCTTCCTATAGACCAATCTCTCTCCTCCCCACATTCGCAAAAATTTTTGAAAAAATACTCCTCAAAAGGCTACTTCCACTTTCGGACAAATTCAACATCATCCCAAACCACCAATTTGGATTCAGGTCCAAGCACTCCACCATCCACCAACTCCACCGCACTGTCGACTTAATCTCTACCAGCATGGAATCAAAACTTTACTGTGCGGCTGTACTCCTTGACGTGGCTCAGGCCTTCGATAAGGTGTGGCATGAAGGACTTCTCTTCAAAGTCAAAAAATTCCTCCCTGCCCCCTACTTCCTTCTTCTAAAATCATACCTCGAAAATCGCACCTTCTGTGTTCGTGTTAATAACAGCTACTCGTCAAACTTCCAAATACTAGTTGGAGTCTCTCAAGGAAATGACATAGCTCCCTTTTTATACTCTATATTCGCCCACGATACTCCGACTTCTCCTCATACATCACTGGGTACATATGCCGACGACACGATAATACTGGCTTCAAATCATGACCCCCAGGTAGTATCTCTTCGGTACAAAATCATCTCAACTCGATTCAACTATAGTCAAATCGCTGGAAGATCAAAATTAATGAAGCTAAATCATCCTTTATAACCTTCTCTCCTAGACCAGGCGACTGCCCCTCTGTATCGTTTAATAATAACCAAATCCCAATCACCCCGACAATAAGATACCTAGGTTTGATCTTTGACAGGCGCCTCACATGGGCCCAACACCATAAACACACACATATATATATATATATATATATATATACACCTTAAAATAAAAAGAAAAACAATCAACTCCAGACTCCATTTACTCCGCCCAATTCTTAGATCCAAGACATCATTAAAAAATAAACTATTAATATACAAAACCATCATGAGACCTGTTTAGTCCTATGGCATCCAGATTTGGGGCTCTGCCAAACCCTCCAACACGAGAACAATCCAGGCATTCCAGCCTATCCGTCTGAGGTAAATTGTATCTGCTCCATGGTTTATCACAAATAATAATCTCCACAAAGATCTAAATATTCCATCGCTCTCTCAATTAACAAAGTCTCACTACGTCTCCTTTCATTCCAAGTTAATCCAACACTACAATCCATTAATAAAACTCATATCTTCTCTAACAATCTCTGATAACTCCCAGAGAAATTTAAAACGCTCCTGGCCTAGAGACCTTCTAATTTAATCTGTCGGGTGACACTACTGAGTTCCCTCCCTCATCTGTTATTCTCGATATGTAAATACTATATCTAAATTACTTATTGTATTAAATTGTAATTATATTTTAAATAAAAAAAAAAAAAAGGTATTGTCTCGAATATTCTAGAACTGACCTATCGTTCTACCTACCTTCTAACACGGTGGCAACCGGCTATAAATTTACGCCGTCATCACCAGGTAGACACAGTTTATTTTAATCCGTTGTGCGATTATATATATACTATCATGTACGGTTTTTTTTTTTTTTTTTATACGTTGGTTGTTGCCGCGTAAGTAATATTTGTTAGTAATTTTTATATATGTAGGTTGTTGCTGCATTTTGATTATAATAAAGGTTTTATCATTTAATACAGACCACTTTTTGTTCTTGATATTTTATATCCGGCACCAGTTGAAGCGTAGTCACCCCGACCAATTTTAGATTCGGGACCTTGCTCAAACAATAATAAATTTGGTTGCTACAGTTCTTACCCAAACCAAACACTGAACCGGGTCGAAGGTCCGACATCTTCACGTAGACCGTTCGCACGTTTCGGCCAACAGATTGTTCTTTGTCCTCACCATCGTGACGTTTCGTCACCAACGCAAATCCGCCCGAACCGATGGCCGTTGTCCTACGCACATGTAGTCGTTGGAGGCATATGCACCGGCCTTCCAGCACGAAGTAAGCGTTGGCCTCACCGGAATCGCAATCCTCGTCTGCAAAAAAAAAAAAAAATCCTGAATGACATCCACATAAATTATATATCATGAGGTAATATGTTAAAACGGTATTCTTGCATGGCATGTGTACACAGTTTTAGTCTTTGGAGAAACCGAAAGAGATGTAAAAGAGTTTTTAAAGTGGGAGGACACATATAAAATAAAAAAATAATAAAATATAATTAACGGACGTTGTATTTTATTTATTATCATCATTGCTATAATATTCTTAGTAATTATAAGCATAAAAATTAATAATGAATTAAGTTGAAATACAAAAATAATTTTTTATATACAATGGTAAAGGGTAATACTATTTGTATGTCAAAACCAGTGTTAAAAATGAAATAAATGATGAGTTATATTATAGGAAAGAGAGAAGGCACTTCAATTGAGGGGTTAGGATTACATTTGGAAGAGATTTTGGAAAATATTAGATACCCATGTTTAGTAAGAGAAGGATGGTTGAAGAGAATATGATGTATGTGACATATGGCTTTATGGGTGTGGAGTGTGTAAAGGAGGTAAGAATCCAGTAAAAGAAATAATTAATGAAAAAAGTGAATGTTTGTAAATTGACAAGTCTTAATGAATATGAGCTGCATTATATGTAACAGTTGTTGCTCCAATATCCTTGTAAATAGTTATAATAGGAATAAAATGGGTGGGTACGGTGAGCGAGTTGATTGTGCGTTATCAGTTCGTCTATTATTTGTACCATTTGAAACCGATTCAAAAATACTGCATTCGAACATGCATTCGTATAGTATAGTTGGACAATCAGCGTGTAATACAATAATTGGACGGCTTATTGATGTCCTGAACAATATATTTATATTGATCGCTGTACGATTTTACAACCTACAATAACTGAACGGAGACCGTATGTGCTTCAAGTTGTTGAAGTTTTAAATCCGACGAAACTCAAGTCATGAGCAGGTTTGATGCTCGTACATGTCGAGTCAGTCGCGAAGTGGTAACCGTTTGAAACCAAACACTCGCTGTTCACAAAACTCTGTATATCCAACAGCACCGGAAAATTTCAAACTTTGAGTAGACACCATCGAACTACTGCGTACACATGTGTGCAGGGCTAACCACAGTAATTCGTCACACTATGAATACTTAACGAATGTTAAAAATATTTGTCGTCCACGAACTTGAGATTTTAAAAGTATCATCAATTATATAAATATCGTATTAACGGACACGGTATGTCAAGCGCTGAGGTCATCGCGGAAGAAAAAAATACTGAAGTTGTCGTTAACACGGACTTTTCGAATCATCAATCTGTTCAACACGTGGCGTATTACATAACATGGACAATTACATTATGAAATGATAACAATGATAACAAACTAATACGTTCGAAATCCATCTATAAGCGGAATACATTTGGTGTGGGGCGGAAACTTTGACATTACTGTCGTCGTTATTGTACATACGCCCGGGAAAATTCTGAGAAAAATTATGAGAAAGCAGCACAAAGATATACTAAGATATACAGATATACATAATATATTGTCTACGTGATGTATTTGATGTTAATAAAGATTGAAACAGCCAAATCGTTATATTAATATATTAAATATTTATACAAGTTACTTACCCGTAAACTTCACCTAAGCTACATAACAATGTTTTGTTAACACTTAGATTGATTGAACACATATTCGTTTTTACTTGAAACTTCAAAAACATTCGAAAAACTCTGGGACTGAAGTAGTTTTATAAATTCTAATATTTTTTGGTATCTACGAAATATTATTCACTTTTTTTTTTTTTAATTTGATACATGTATATAGTATATAACGTACCTTTTGAGCTAATTCGAGAACATGCCATGTAAAATCAACCGTGGGTGAAGCAGGAACCCGAATTGTCAATGCCTAATGAATTTACTTGAAAAACATCTTCTCCATGTTATGTTACAATATCGATTAAAAACATATCGTATGACAATACGTTGTGTAGTCTCAAACATCATCCGTAAAAAAATAATAATATTTTATCGTCATACCTTGATCAAACTGCATTTCTGAAAACCTACGTACTGTTGCTGAAATTATATAATACGTATCAAGGATACGCGTATAAATTGTATGGGCATAAGACAATACGAGACAATTAACCACGTTTATATACCACATTCAGTGCTTGCAAGGTTTTTCAATCAATGCTTATAAAAGTCGAATCGCAATATTTAAGGAGGTCATGCTTCATACTTCCACTCTACCTCCCACCGTCTCTCACACTCTCTTTCTCTCTCACTCACACACATACTCTCTATATCTATCTGTTTTTCTGTACGCATCTTTCCCCTCTCTCTCGTCCATCAACTATTTCTGTATCCCTCTTGAAACGTTCCTTCATCTCTGAAAGTATATCATTACAAAAGTGCGTACTAACACGGAAAGGTAATTAATTTTATTTGCCAGCTCATCGATACCATGGTGGTCGGCACGTAAAACAATCGTGAGACGTATAAGTGAATTTTTTTCAGTTCATCTATCGAAAAACACATATGAGAGTACTTTAACAAAATATTGCGATGTTATATTTTTACGTACTCGATACAAACCACTGATCCGCAGTAGAATAATTTATTGTTTTAAAATTGGTTTCCAGTTACGGAAAAATACCATTCACTGATAGGGTTGCCACCTCTCCGGGTTTCACCCGGATAATCCGGTTTTACAAATAAATGTACGGCCTATGGGTTCAGTTAATTATTCTCCGGGTTATCGTAAAAATAATTCTATTTATAAAATTATTGTATATTATATATATCAATTACAAGTTCTCACGTACCCTCATCATTTTTTCACTTACCATTTTGGACATACCTAGGTACCATAGATCTTCTGCGACTTTGAATATTACCTCACAAATAGATAAAACTTATTTCAATATTAAATTTACGAATTTCATTTCCATCACTTGTACATATTTGTATTTAGATTTTCCACATTTTAGTTATATACATCGTATTTTTTTGCTTTGAAAACATTATGGCGTAGTAATACAATATTTTTGTATATTAATATTTTTTATTTTCATTAAATAATTATATTCAATATACTGCAGTATTAAATTCCATTCATATTTGCATGTTTTGAAGGCTTTAAAAATTGTGTACACTATTCACAGTTATATTTATAAAAAAAAAAAAAAAAATGTGTCACAAATTCTTATAATACATTTATTATAGACTGTAATTTTTCTAGACAATACTATTCACTGTGTTTTATGGGTATATTAGTTTTATTATACTCTTACTGTTTTCATTATTTTGTCAACGTATAATATTTTACATTCATTTACTTATGTATTTCTAGTGATGTGAGTTTGTATTATACAGTGGTATAAACCTGTATTATACAAGCTATTATACACATGGTATAAAATTATTTTATATAGACAGTATAAAAATAAAATGAAATTGTTATTTTTAGTTACTTTTAGTAACTCAATTATTAATTTTTTAGTTGTACTTATAGAACAGATCTCCAATAAAGTACAGCACTATTATAAAAATGAAAAATATACAATATCATTGAAATCATGTTAATTTAGAATTTAGGTGTTAAAAATGACTAAAATCAATCAGGGGTGGATCCAGACCAAGATAACGGAGGAGGGGGGATTTTTAACGGACATCGTTTAAATTGTAACAATGGGTATCTCAAAATTAATCAAAATGAGTTTATTTTCAATATTAATAAAATAAGGGATTCCCAGCATCAGAATTTTCTGTGCAAATTCAAATTAAATATCTAAATAAATTAATAATATTTTTAAATAATGCAATTAAACAACACAAGAAACAATATATTAATAAAAAAATAAGTAAAAATCTGTATTATTTAAGTTCAGATTAGTAAGGCTATTTTTTTATTTTGTCTATTCTTTTAAATTTCTTGGCGATAATCTTAAACTGCAAAATGGCGCATTCGAATCACAATGAAATGTATTAGAATATATATGATTATATTATTTGTTCGAAACATGGAAATGTAAAAAAAAAAAATATTTAAAGCATCGTCAACTGTTAGATCCAATGCGTTTTTTTGTTTGCAATATTCTGCAAAGCACTCTTCTACTATGTATAGAAATTGAAATAAATGTAAATTTGGATTGGTTAATCCTGATTTTGATTTTAAATTAATAAGCTCAGCTTCTGGTAAATTAATTGAATGTGTCATATAACCACTGTAATAATATAGCCCTACATATTAACGCTTTACAGATGTGGCAAAAATGTGTATTAAACCCGTAACGCATTCTGACCGTCAGCTAACAATGCAATTTAGATGTACGATAGCGAACCTGTAAATCTTAAACCGTGTAGTAGTATATAACTGTGATATCAGTATATCACAAATAATAAATATAAGTGATAACATAGTACCAGCATAAGTTTGGTATAAAAAAAAATAGTTTAAGATTTCCCTGTTCACCCTTGTAGTGATTAAGTCAAAAACTAATGTCTGTTAAGGTGAACGGGGGGGGAGGAGCAATTGCCCCATTCACCCCCTCTGGATCCACCCCTGAAATAAATTTATTGTACTAATATAATACTCAAATATTGTAAATATATTGGTACAATGATATAGTATATAACTATTAAAGTATTAAGTATAGTTTTATCTTTATTTCTATTTAAAAAATATGTATTTCTATGTATAAAATATATACGTATGTTACCTATATCATAATTGCAAATCGATAGCATGACTAAATATTAATTTGGTGAATTTAGTGAATAATTTTTGTATTATGTGTTTTTTTTAATTTTTTCTAACTTTTTAGCCATTTTTTTTTTTTTAATTATTCTATTTTAAAATAATTTATATTTCATAATTAACAATGGGATAATAACCTTTGTTAAATTCCTTGTAATTTATAGTACTGCAAGGTTCTATACGATATAATACTGATATAATACCGGTTTAATATGATATTATACAAAAATAAATAAAACACCATATTTTAAC